TACATGACCAGAAATGCACAGCCACTTTCTAGATGCTACAGAGACAGAAAATTGAGATACAAATGCAATAGCAATACATCACACCACTGGCTCTTGTAAAATCATGTAAAGTGTCATGTAAAGACAGATGCTGCAGGTAGCAATCCATCACAATTCAGTGCTAATAAGCACACAGAGGCACAATGCACAAGAGACCTTGGCTGACATTTATTTCAGTTTGTCTCACATTGAAATATGCCTGGTTTTTAGCTAATAAAAGTAGATTTGATATACAACAATGCTAGCAAAAAGGGAAAAAAATCTCCCATATTACAAATTACATAGATTCAATTTCAAGCATGCCTTTAACAACAAACCAAGTGCCTAATTTAAAACACTACATGCCAACTTCATTGCAACACCTTATTCATTAAAGGACCGGTATTCAGTCCATATATCCATCAAAAACACTTGCTCTTGCTGAAACAGTCCAGTCCTTTGAGACTTACTTTGCATGTGTTTGTGTCGCTGCATTTTTTGAAATCCTGATTTGTCCTCCACTCCAGCTTTAATGGCAAGCCAATTTTAAATGACACCAGTTTAAAGAGTAATCAATATGTGTAAAGTCTTGGAGTCTTGGTGTAAAGTGCTGGAGTTCACGAGGGAAATCAGATGTCAATTTGGCCGTTGGATCCTGTAACTGCAACTGCTGGCAAAGAGTACAAAATCTCTGATTCCATAGTGACTTTAAATTGATTAGCCTTTAATTCTCTGAGGTGTTAAACTTTGTTGCTTTAAGCAAATATTGAGCAAGATGTATTTGTGCCCGGCTTTTTGGCTTACTTGTTTGTTATAGCATTTATTTGTGTGCTTGTTAGTCGAAGCATGTAATGGCTAAAAACAGATAAATCTTATGCAAATGCTATAAATGGATTTCAGCCAAAGACCATTTTCAAATCCTCCACATTTTAAAAAATATGGCATATGGGGACAATAAATGTGTGTAGACGATAAATCTGATTAATCCTTTACAGGCTGTGATAACCTGGACAATGTTAAGCCGACAGAGATCGGGTCTGTCCACTGTGATTATGCAAAATAAATATAGTGTAAATGTGATACGCAAAGGCTGGCGTGCTGGCAGTGTGTGTTTGTCAGGGTACATTAACCTGTGCCTGTTTGCTTAGCACTGTTGAAATAGGCACTGATGGCTGAACTACTTTCGTAGACACACACAGTCTTATACACTCTATCTCTCTCTGCGCTGGACTAAAAAAGCACCTTCACCAGGAGTGCTCAAGCAAATAAACAAATATTGAAAGAAGTGACCAGGAATTTCGTACTCAATAAACTACCAAAAATGTCACTGTAGAATTGACTAGTGCTTCAGAGCATTTTTCAAACAAGCAGAACGCATAAAATTATCATTTACAGATGGAAAGACTGGAGAAATAACAAGGAAAGAATAGACTGACTACAGTAACATTATATAAGAGGCCTGCCATTATGATTTAGTTCTGCAAACATTTGTTATTTTAAGATGTCATAAATTGTTCTTGATGGTGCAGCATATTAAAGCACTAATTGAGTTTTTTACTCCGCAGTAAACACACTAAATAAGAGGGCCACATGATTTATGAAGCATGAAGCAGGGCTGAATGCAACCTTTCATTTCATTGAAGCTTGACTTCTGCTCTCTTCTTTTTTAGTTGCCCTGAGTGTTATCTGAACCGTTTGATATAAGGTAAAAGGCTATGACACTCTCTTTTTGCCTGAATATGTGATACATGAGAGAGACAATATCTTCTAAATAAGCAACTGACATGGGTGACCTTTCATTTAGTTTTTTATCTCTCGCTTAGTTTTTTTCCCTCACTCTCTTCCCTTTTTCAGCCCCCAACCAGGCAATGTGTGTGCTCTTCCCTAATCAGGGGATGATGCAGCCATGTGTTTTCTCTGCAATCAAGGGTCTATGTTCACAATGTGACCTCTATTTTCAACGTGCCACAAAAACTGTAAAATCATAACATGAACTGGCTGAGAATTTGTTGGGCTTCAATGCGTCATTGTCTTATTCTCAACATGTCAAAAGAGTGTGAATCTATGGATCCAGAGAATGTGAATGTAAGAATCAACTAGCCTACACACTGTTTCTGTATCATGATCGAGATAATCAGAGCACAAATCAAAATGGCAGGCCTCTACTCTGAGTACCTTTTCGTCACAACAAATCCTGATGTTGTGCTTCTTTCGTTCCGCCATGTTGTATCACAGTGACTTCTAGCTTTTCATACCATGCAAAAGCCTTTTGGGATAAAATATGGATATGTGGAATTATATGTGGAAACTGAGGTTTCGATCACAATATGTATTTTATGAGACAGATTAAGGAGTTGTCAGCGTTACAAAAGAAATGAAACGGAATCGGTTTGAATAAATCAATGCTAATGAAAAAAGCTTTGAAAATCAATTTTAGTCATACCTTACTTGGTAACTGTTCAATAATCTGTATCTGAGTCTATAATGAGTGTCCATTATTATAAGCTTTGTTGAACTGATTTGATGATGTTTTGTCTTGTAAATCGCTTTGTGCCACCAGTGCCCTTGATGACAAATGAGCTCAATTAGTGATATGCTCATATCCATGTATAAGTAATCTGAGACAATAATGTAACTGCGACCTTGTTTAATTGGACTCGCAAATGAACGGTTCAGTTACTCGTATGGACTGGCCTCTTTAAGGAGCCTAAAAACCAAGGATCAGATTAACTAGACCAGTGCAATCTGGTTTTGAAGACAGAAAGGGAACATTAAAATGATGCTTGTAATGCTCGTGTCTTGTAATTGTAATCGAGATCTCGTTATCATGTTTCATCGATGATTCTAAAGGCTCTTGAGCCTGTGCGAGTCCAGCATCAGGTCAGCGAGGTGAAACTGCACGATAGGAATGACGGATTTAAATAAATACGATAACCTACTGTGGAAGTAACACGTAAGTATTCAAATCGCCGTAGTCTAACATTTCTGGTCATCCAAATTTGAATAAGATTTTTCTTTAATGTGCTAATTACACCTACAATGACTTTAAACAGATGGTTATTTAAAGGAAATATTTTAATATTGTATGCGTATGATAAATTACCCAAAAGGGTATTTATGAAGCTCAGTCTGTGGAAACTGCCTCGCGAAGGAGTTCGTAACTTGATGTTTAGCTAACTGTGCTAGTGGCACCAATCAGAGAGAAAAACACAGCAAATCCAAACCTTTTTAAACACAACACCAAATGTTTTGTGACGTTTTTGTAATATGTATCTTAAAGAAAGTTAAAAATTAAAATTAAAAATCGGCCTACTGCCCAAAACTGCAGGTTTTGTTCACTACAGTTGGCAAAATATGTGCATACTAACTTGTCCCATGTCGAACTTCGTATCATTAGGCTACTAAAAACTCTATTGAGACCTTTTTTAAGACCACCCCAACCTTTTGACTTTCTTTGGGGAAGTTCAAGCCCTAAGGTAACCTTACCTCCATAATCCGGACCAGGGGCGTATTCACTCGATTACATTTGCAAACACTTACATGGCATGTCAAGGGGCTAATTAGGGGGGAGGGGTAAGCAAGAAAAACGTGTTTTGCAAGAACCTTTTTATGTAATAGTTTAATAATAAACACAAATTAACAAAAATAATATGCAACTTTATACAATTTCATTCAGTCCCATATTTTTTCTGACTCCTCCCATCATTTCACAGTTTTGTTACTAAAAAGGTGCTCATTAAATTCATTACTTTTTCTCTCACACAGGTACTCCACAAAATGTTCTCTTTTACAACTTGTGTGTGAAACAGTGCCATGTACATGTTTTTTAATTATTATTTTACAATAATCTATATTATACTTGCACCTCTTATTTCATTTCTCATTTATGCTAGCACTACTGTCTCATTCTTTCTTTCTTTTTACAGCCTCTCCTCCCTTCTCTTATTGTTCTCTCATCTCTCATAACTCTCATCTGTCTTGCTGCTTGTATCTTGTCTACTTCATGCTCTTGGTGTCTTTTTTATCCTTCTTTACAATCTATCTTTCTGTGTTCTCTATTTCTTTGAGGGTGGAATCATCAGAGAGTATCTCCGAGACTTGACTTGAGCAAAACGGTCAATTACCATGCTAGTGTTTATAGTGCTGAGAATTCCTTTTTCAATTGACAGAACAGCCTAATGGTTGAGTCTCTTCTGGCCCATTGTTCGCCTAAGCCATGTATGTAGACGACGCAATGCACTAAATGACCGCTCACAGCTGGAACTGCTGACCCTCAAGGGCTGTAAAATAGTTTAGGATTAAGTCACGTGGTGAATGAGCGAGTGAGTGAGTGAGTGAGTGGAGAGAGAGATGTCAGTCAAAATCGCTTACTGTAAACAGCGACAGTGGCCAACTAAAACAATCAACATTTACTTAATTTCTAATTTCTCACATTTCCTCTGAACATTAGGCTACTAAAAACTCGATTTAAGCCTTTTTTAATCGGGGCTAGATTAAAATCATTCGGGGCTCGAGCCCCGAATGTTTAGCCCTAGCGACGCCCCTGATCCGGACCATGTTTTTATTCACTCGATTACATTTGCAAACATTTACATGGCATGTCAAGTACAGAAAGAGGCTGTGGGGCGTAGGACAGCTCCTCAGTCCACTCCGAAACTATCCTATTCACGTTTTCCAATATAATGCTAATCCCAAGGTTGCAAAATGCTGTAAATTTGTGCCTGGCTATTTCCTGTACAGCTGGGCGGAATTCAATGCCATTGAAGTGTATGAGGACGCCGAGGATTTCAACTTGCAAATTACAGCTGCAAACGGGTCAATAAAATACTCCCTAGCCTACTTGAAAGGCTGTACATTTATTTCTTTAAAAAACAGTGGTATCTCTGTATAAGTCCCCAACATACACGTTAACCGACTGCTATTACTAACAAGTCATTAAACAAAAGTAACCTGACTCTAATGTGACTCATATAATATCTTACCTCGTAAAATTCAGCTTAGATCCCCATTGTAGTGGAACGAGATGAATAAAAACTTTACAGTAGGTATCCAAACTTATTAAAAGCAGCAGCTGTAAGGTGAGGTAAAATAACGGTTAGGACGATAAATTTCCCGCAGTCACGCCTTCCCGCGTCTCTCACACACTGAGTGCTCTCGAGCGCGGGGAAATTCCTCCGCAAACGACCAGCCACACACACGGTCTAAATTACGAGACAACGACCTGGACCCGGCGAACCCAGAGGCACAAAGTCCAGAAGCGTTAGTTCTAGCTGTGTCAGAAACACATGTGACGGAGCCAAGGACTGTACCACTCCTCTGGTCTCCCTGTGTGTGCGCGCGCTGCGGTGCTGATGAGAGGACGGGTCGTTTGCGCGGGATCCGCGCGATACTAGTGAGACCGTGTCATTAACAGCACGAGGACCCAGAGCATCGCGGAATGCGACAAGAACTGCACAAACCTTGCTTTCTTTTTCATTCTTATTTATATTTAAGTGTGCATTTTCCACAAGAACCTTAATCTTCATAAATGGATGGAAACTTACTGGTATCACAGACTTCTAACGACAATTACGTACTTGTTTTATTAACCCTCTTATTCTGCTTTGGGATTTATTGGTTTATGCTTGTAAATATAATATAATATTAACCCTATTTTACACTTTATGTTATGTTCCTCTGCCGTATCACAAACTTATAGGCCAGAGAGAAAAACACAATCAGTCCTCGTTGCTATTTCAGTAGCCTAACCTTGTTGCAACAAAAACATATTGTAGAAAAATAAAATAAATAAGTGCCTGTTTACAGTGCATACACAAAGAATCGTATGTGAAAACTCACTGCATTCATATTTTATATGGTTCTATGAAACCCCAGACATAAGTAAGGAAACATTTTTCATGGAGGCCAATTGCGGCAAGTTGAAGTTTCTTTATTACCAGTTCTTACGGGAAAATATTATGTGGTCTGATGCTTGAATGATAAGTATATTTTTCAAGCTATAGCAAAATGGCCTTGGGCGTCTGTCAGAACCCAAACTGAGCATGAGGGTTAAAGTACTTCCCATTAAGACCCAACATACATTCAGCAATCTACTAATAACCCACTGTTTTGAGATGGAGAGTGCGATATTGCATGTAAGATGGAGATTGTGATATTGCATGTGAGATGAAGATTGTGATATTGCATGCGATTTGGTCATAACTAAAACAATCATCATGAATTTGCACTTGCCTAATGGCAATTGACTGGATTCTCTTAAAATAAAAGCTAATTTTGCTTTAGTTAATCAGTTAGTAAGCAGTACAGATGGTGAGGTTTCTATGTGGTATCGTCTCCCCTAAGACCGGCATTTTTCATGTAGTTGTCCCTGCTTAGAGGACATTAGAGGGCCTTTTGACTTTCATCAAAGAGCTGATGTGAAAAGCACATGGCATATGAATCGCACTTTGACGGCTGTGAAATGACAGCTCTCACAGAAGCTGTGTGTGAAGAATGAAGATCATTAATTACAAAAGCCCCAGCTACTTAATCCCACTCGAAAGAGAGCTTGAGGCGTCAGTCGTTCCCTTTGCCCTCCTCTGATTTTCGCTTTCCGATATCTCTTGTTTTCCCTTCGGTCGCCCCCATTTCTCCTCCCCCACACCCGTCTAGCCATCTTTTTCTCAAATTCATTCTTCTTTCTCCTCTTCATTCTTTTCAGCTCTTTTCTTTTCCATTACAAACTGCACTTTTATCTCCTCATTCTTTCTCTGAATTACTCTTTTATCTTCACTCGCCCTTTGCATGTCATGGAGTCCAGCGAGAACAGAATCGAGAGTTCGAGTCCAGAGGTTTTGGACTCAGCAGGGGGAGCGGTAGTGCTCTCCTCACCCTCCTCCTGCGTCCCAGCCTCAGACCTCATGCTGAGATGGAGTTATCTCTCAAGGCAAGCTGTTCCACTCACCAGAGCTTTGTATCCAAGTCTCCACGCCAAACATCAAACTCTCTCTCAACAGGAAGTGCCATTATCTGCATGAAAGCCAGCTTGATCAGTTCTCTATACCTTATACTGCAACTGAAGGACAACAACTAAAAAGTGATACGCTTCTATCTGCAGAGGAGCCGAGCTGGTCCAAAATTGATCAGTTTACTCATTATGTAAGTATGTCATTCTTCACACCATGTCAATGAAACTTTTTTGCTCAAAGATTTGATTAAGAATCATATACTCGTAATTTTGAAATATACCTTGTTGAAGGGCATTTCATGTGATTGTAATGTTCATCATATAAAACAATATACTAATATTTGGAATTGACTGAAATTTGACTGCTTAAAATACGCTTTGCTTCTTACTGGCAGTAAACATGTCACAATAACATATTTGTCACCAATTCAGATGTCAAACCTACAGCTTTTCACATTAAACTTTATAACAAGCATTGTAAACAGTGGTTGCTCCCGTCAAACTCTAATTCTTCAACAGACCTTCTGCAAACATTGCTCTGAATACGGTCTGTCCAAATCCTCGAAGCACAATTTCTGGGACAGTACTAAATGTCTCTTTTTCCAGCTAATCCATCACTTTACCACTGCTGGACTCATTTGTACCCTCTAGTGGGGATGAGTAACAGTGTAATTTCTCATATTAAATGAGGGCACATCTGTCTGTTTGAAAACAAACGATTTGGACATGGAATCTGAGGGTGGTACATGCACATACAGTATTCAAACTAAATATAATTTCCATTGATCGCAATATAAGGGTTATCCTCTAGACATACAGTAGCTGTTCTTTGATATAGCTGAGAAAAATGCTAGAAGCTTGTGGGCCTCTGATACGAATGTTTAGACAGGGAAATCAGTGAGGATATACATAATAATCTCTCTTTTTCTGTCGTAACAACGGTGGTGTACAAGATACAGAGATGAAGTTTATTGAATGACTATTCACTGATCCAAATACTAAAATTGCCCACCTTTATAAGCATTCAATCAAAATATATGCATCATTACATTCGGCTCTGAATAGTAGTGTTATCAACATCCTGCCTGGATCCATGTGAATGGATGGCCACCAGTCAACTTAACTGAACTTGACAATGAATCTTACTATGTATGTCACCTTCTATTTCAATGTACAACAGTATCTGAGGTGGTAAACAGCAAAGCGATTTTAAGGGCAAAGAGTTACGGTCCATGAGGGAAAATGAGGAGCTGCGCTCTGTTCGGGTTACTCTCAGAGGAGGAATATACCAAATTTAACTGCTAAAAGAGAAGAGCTGATTTTACTCTTACTTTTGTATTCGCTGTTGCTGTGGTTGTATTTCAAGCCTAATCAGATCACATTAGACCAGATCCAAAATTAGCATCTGCAATTTGTTTTTGTTTTTTTCATGATTTTAAAAGAAGTCTTTTATACTCACCAAGGCTCTATTTATTTGATCCTAACAGTAAAAAAATAGTAATATTGTGAAATATTGTTACAATGCAAAATAGATGTTTTAATAAATTTTTTAATGTAATTTATTCCTGTGATGGCACATTTTTAGCAGCCATTACTGCAGTCGCAGTGTCACATGATTCTTCAGAAATCATTCTAATATTCTGTTTTGCTGCTCAAGAAACATTTCTTAGTATTATTAATGTTGAAAACAGGTTTGTTGATTAATATTTTTGTGGAAACTTTTTTTCCAGGTAATTTAATAAATAGAAAGTTTACAAGAACAGAATTTATTTCAAATAGAAACTTTTGTAACATTATAAATGTCATTACTGTCACCCAGGTGAAAAAAGTACACTTCCATAATGTACTTAAAGTGCTCTATTTTCACATACTAATTTTATACTTAATATACTAAAAAGTATTCTTTAGTTCTTCTTAAGATAATCTTAAGAACATCTAAGTGTACTCAACTGTGTTATTTTGAGACACCACGAATATGAATTAAATGAGCTTTTACCATACTCTCTCTGTATTTAAAAATGTATTTAGTAACCACTTGTGGTACACTTGAACCCATCTTTCATACACTTTCATACATGGTAACTAAATATTTTTATTTTTACTTTTTTAACACAGAGAGAGTATGTTAAAAGCACATTTTAGTTCATATTCATGGTGGGGTTTTTTTTTCACATGGGCACTTTTGATCAATTTGATGTGTTTTTGCAGAATAAAAGTATTAATTTATTTTTAAAAAACAAACAAGCAAACAACATTTCACTGATCCCAAACTTTTTAGAGTAGAACAAGCAGTTTGGTGAATGCATGGATTGATGGGAATAAAGTTGTATACATGTATACAGTATGTACTTCCCCTGTTTGTTCATGTAGTTTTGATAAAAATTTTTTACATCAAACAACAACAGTTCTGCCACTACCTTTATAGTATTTGAACATTCACTTCACAACCATAAAAAGTGTGACAAAAGCCTTTGTTTGATAAGCAAAATGGTATTTAAAGATCACAAAAGTATGGGAGAAAAACTATTTGAATAGGTGACACACAGTCATACACAGTGGCACAGCAGTGAACAATTCACATGTTTGAAAATACTGATGAATTTTAAAGTGACCTTGAAGTGGCATTTCACAGAATCAGTTTCCTAATTAAGTCTGATGTCTCTAGATGACTTCCAAAGACTCACCATGGCACAGAGTAACCTTCCAAATACAGTGTGGTTAACAAGAGGAATTGCTTCATCTGAGGTGACAGTGTTTCCAAAAACTTGGCCACTGATGAGCTACTTACTGTTGAGGCTTATTCTGTTCACTGTGAAACTGTATATTCTAATTAAATGAAGCTGCAAGTCTATTAAACGTCCAAGTTTGGATCATTCGAAGAATTATCCCCAAACCTATGGATTTAAGACTGCTAAAAAGAGAAAAGTCACCTATGTCAAAACGTTGTAATGTGCAACCACCTAACATCATTCAACCAGGACACTCGTAAGAAAAGCTTGCAGGAATAAAAGCAGAGAATGCTTGTGTCTATGCCACGATCTCCAAGCATGAATCTGAAAGCCATGGAGATGAATGACCAGTCAATAGTGATCTCCATAATCGTTAGTCCTCTGGTGATTCATCAAGCCAATGACACTCGTGTCCCTAATACCACATTTATGCTGGTTTGAGCAGAGGAGATTGTGTGCTGTGATTTTCTCCAAAATGATTGATTATATCCAGCCTCTTTTGCCCAGTGTGTGTATGTGTGCGTAGATGAGTAACTGAACGAATGAGCGGGTAAGTGAGTGAGTGAGTGAGTGAGTGAGTGAATGAATAAGAGATCAAGTGTGTGAAAGAGCAAGAAAAACTGAGATGCAAACC